CAATATTTACGGAGTCGGGAAGAGGGGGAGGGGGTGGGTGTGTGTGAGAGAGACTGATGGAGGGAGGAGTGAGGGGATGATAGAGGGGAGGATGAGGGGATGATAATTCCACTCAGTCTTGACCATCTAACTACCATGATCAGCTGGTGATTTGTGTGTTTGTTTTGTTTTTGTTGGAGATGGGGCTAGGCGGGGGGGGGTTGTTGTCACCATACATACACAACACCCAGTAGTACAGATGTTTTTTACCCTATAGTAAATCAGTGTATTGTTATTACTATTACAATAATTGTTATGATTATCATTAATTGGTATTCTTATTATAGACTATTTTACCACTTTAGTTAACGAATGATTAGTGGGGGCTTTGATGTGGCTTATAAATTCCATTCTTTTTTTTCAGCGTTTCTTTTGTGTCGGTTTGTTCTTCGCATAGAATTGTTTCACATTATGGGGCGTAGACTGATACGACATACTCACTTTTGTATGTTGTGGAGGAGCAGCTTGTGGGTAGTTGGAGGGTGCCACCAGTAGGTCCTACTTCTTTACTTGGCGTCGGTGGCCTTGTGGTTAGGCTCTCGGTACTCGCAACCGTAAGGTCGTGGGTTCGAATCCCGTCGGGGGCCCGATGTAGTGTCCTTGGGAAAGGCACTTTACACGAATTTTCCTCACTTCACGCAGATGGGAATGGGTACCCGGCTATAGACAGCGAAAGATCTTGTCAGTTTGTTAGTGTTTGAGCGCTTAATCAGCTGCTTGCTCTGTAGTATGCTTCCCGGGAAGCTGAGAATGTTTCGGAGTGTTCTGTGGTCTGCTGGGGTAATAATATAGTGTAAAGCGCATAGAGCCTGCTGTTGAGCGGGGATATGCGCTATACAAATGCTATTTATTACTTTCCTTCTGTTGGTTCTGTTAATCAGTCTGGTTGGTCTTACTTCTTTACTTTCCCTTTGTTGTTTGTCTGTCTGTCTGTCTGCCTGTCTCACTTTTTCCCAGTACTAAATGACCATTATTGCATCACTGTGCTGCTTTTTACTCATACAAACAAACAAAAGTCTTGCTTCTTTTCCTTGCACACACAATTGTGTTGGTAAGCGTTTCTTTAATCACCAAGGTTGTTAATTCTTTAAACCCTGAGTTTTTTCCACCGTTTCCCTGAGTTTTTTCTACAGTCACCTAATCCTGGAGCACTATGTCTCATTACAACCCCAAAAGCTTGCCGCCAACTTCTAAATAGTGGAAACAAAGGCTAAGGCATTACAAAAAAATTTGGATTGAGAATAGTTCCAAAAAACACTAAATGAAATGCAACAGTTGTCACTAGTGTCGGGCGCTACTAGCGTCCAATGGGGAACCGTTTTATTACCTCCGGGCGCTCCCAGCATCCGATGGAGTTTAAAGAGTTAATGCACTGCGTCTGAGAGACCAGTGCATAGTTAAATTTGACCCCCAGAGTGCTGAGGAGTGTGTTTGGCTCACAAAGGTTAAAGGTTACATGTGTGCAATTAGATGTGTTGAATTTACCTATCAATTCATGTTGATCATAGAGGTAAACTACATGACTTTAAACTTTTTAATTTCAGAATCATTGCGGCTTTGTCTATAGAAGAGCGGGGCTTGTTCCGAGAGCGGATTCGGTTCTTGGACAAACGGATACACCCGGGCTTGTCCAAACTGACCTGGGCCTCAAAGGGCACGGTGGAATATTTCATCAACGAGTGTCGCACGCACTGCTCCAACATACAGTCTGTGGTGAGTCGGATTCGTTTGTGTGGGCCATCAAGTGGAGGGCACCACTGGTAGCTTTTTCTTCTTTTTTATTTTTCCACTTTTGTTTCTGTCTGTTTGTCTGTCTGCTTATCTGGCTGTTTATCTGTCTGTCTGTTTGTCTGTCTGTTTGCTTATCTGGCTGTTTATCTGTCTGTCTGTCTGTCTGTTTGTTTGTCTGTTTGCTTATCTGGCTGTTCATCTGTCTGTCTGTCTGTTTGTCTGTCTGCTTATCTGGCTGTTTATCTGTCTGTCTGTTTTGCTCATCTGTCTGTCTGCCTTGCTTTTTTCTCAACACTAAATTTATGAATATTTTCTTGTCAAGATGCATGTCTTTATTCAAATAAAAAGTTGTGATGTATAAGTGAGTGTGTGTGTGTGTGTGTGTGTGTGTGTGTGTGTTGTTGTTGAGGCTGGAGTTGTGAGCAGAGTAAGCCTGATTCCCCCGTTTTGACTTCTCTGTTGACATCCACCCCTTGACGCCCATATGACCTTATGCAGTTGTGAGCGCCGGCCTATCAAACATCTATCGTCTTTATCTCTCCTCCTTTTTTATGTATGTTACTCTCTTGCGCAAGACCAGGTGAGACAAATTTAGAAACTCAGTAGTCAGAAAAATGGGGGCACAAATGATGTCATGCATCACTTCCAACACCAAAGAATCAAATGGTTCAGACATTTCATGCGATTACAAACACACCACCATGCACAACGTGCCTACATAAAAAAATTC